CTTAGCGGCTTAATGTTTGTCGTGCCTAAAATGATTTTAAAAAGGTAATAGAAATTATGCAAGCTTGTGTCATGAATGAACTGACTGCTTTATAGGACCCTTTGATTTGGTATCACAGGGCAGCATATTTTATAGTTACACAGCATGAAGCCTGAACCTGAGCACTATTATGGCGAGGAAATGTGACTTGGTGTCAGATTGTCAGGCTAGTCTGAATATTTCAGAAACTGCTGGTCTACTGGGATTTTTCCACACAGCCGTTTCTAAGGTTTACAAAGAACGGTCCAGAAAAAAAATCCTCTGACTAGCAGTTCTCTGGATGAAAATTCCTTCTTTTTGTCAGAGGTTGCAGGAGAATTGTAGGAGAATGGCCAACTTTGTGGTTGACAGAAAGGCAGCAGTAAATCAAATAACCACTCACTGCAGCCGAGGCATGCAGAAAGGCATCTGTAAGTACACAGCATGTCGAACCTGGCATACTTTTGGCCACCTAGTACCAGCTGAGCATCATTTAAACATCACAGTTACCAGATCTCAGTCCATTAGAGCACTTTTGGGATGTGATGGTGGTGGTGTTGCACTGTCTTTGTTTTGTTTTTTTGCAATTTTTGCACACTTGCACTTTATGTAATCATGTATTGATTGTCTGTTATATGTACCACCATGGTCTTGTAGGAACGTTGTCTCGCTTCACTGTGTACTGTACCACTACACATGATTGAAATGACAATAAAGCCACTTGACTTGAGTGTAACTATGCAGCTGATGGGGAAATTTAGATCAACCTAAACTGCAGTTCATCCAGGTTTAAATTTGAGATTATTCTTATTTATTTATTGCATTTGTTCATCATATGGAGGGCCAACACTGATGTTTTGTGCAAGAAGGGTATGATCAATTTGTGCAACAGTATGCTGGAGCTCTTCTCTTAGCCTGTTGTCTGCTGGGAGCATTAGTGCCAGATATGCCAGCAGGACCAACAAACAAATTCACAAGGCTGGAACCATCATTGGTCAGAATCTGGAGCTGTCTGAGTCAGTGAGCGACAGGAGGTCACTGAAGAAACTGCACGTGGACAACCCATCACACCCGCTACACTCCACACAACAGAGGCAGCAGACCTCTCATCTACTACTATCTCATACCTACCTGTCATACATGCTGTTTCCCGGGCTTATATTGCCAGTCGCACTGCTAAAAGCCGCTGGTGAGACTCCATCTGACCAGAGAAGCTCAGAATCAAAGAAGTGCTGATCTAGCTCAGTTTTCTGGAATAGCCTGGAAAGAAAGTGTGACAGCAGGCTAACATTTGCTGCAGCTCCTTAGACGAGCAGATATTTTGGCTCCTGGCTTGCAGAACGAGGCCTAAAGCTTTTGGCTCACATCCTTATCAGTGGGTTGGCGTGTAAAGTGGGCCGTTGGGCAGCAGCTCCGTGGTGCAGCCTGTTTTTTGAAATTCAAAGTGGTGGCGAATGTGCAGAGATTTATATCTGTTTCACACCCACAGTTTTTCAGTACTATAGAAAACAATTGCTACTGTTTATGGTTCTGGTTCTAACTTACTGTGGGGGTTTTGTTGTCTTTCTTTAGCCCATTTTTGTCCCGAGCTCATAGACTGGAACCCTCCGATGATGAGTTGTACCAGCGCACCACAGTCTCTGTCATGCAGAAGGATGTAGACAATGGGGTCCTCATCCACAGCTACAGTTCTGCAGGATTCAATATAGATGGAAACAGGGTGTATGGGCCTTGTGCCGTGCTGCCTCCTGCTATCCTGCAGTGGAAGGTGAAAGTGCTTTCCAGTCTGTCCTTGCAGTTTGTGAAAGTTTATGAAATTCTTTTTTTTTTTTGTAGTTTATTTTAACAACTATATATGTGTGTTTTTTTTTCTCTCTCTCTGCAGATTGGAAGTTCAAAAGATATCACAGAAGAAAGTGTTTCACTCTTCCACATGCTTGAACCAAAAATAGGTACCAATATATGCACTAAAGCAGACCTATATACAGATGACTGATGATTTTGTCAATTCTGCAAATTGAGCATTACAATAATCTAACTTGCTTGATATGAAAGTATGGACCGATTTCACAGAGTCAGTTAAAGATGAGAATTTTTTAAGTGGTAGAAAGCAGTTCTGGTAACCTTGACATGATTATCAAAGCTGAGTTCACTGCAAAATTATGCCATGGTTTCTGGCTTGTTCGAGGTCTTTCAGAGACAGAGTTGATTCATGTGAGCAAATCTTCTATCTCTGACTTTCTGAACCAACAACAAATATCTCTGTCTGGTCTGTTTAGTTCTAAAATTTTCTAAACATCCAGTAATTTTTCAGAGTAAAATTATCATCAACGTGAAATGATAGGTAGAACCATGTATCATCTGCATAAGAATATATATTCTGTCTTTTTTAAAGATGGAACCATACAGGAACATTTAAAGGTTAGAGAGGTAAAGAACCAAGGGCAGACCCCTGAGGAACCCCTGATTAAATTTTTACTTTTGGAGTTTTTTTGGAGGTATGATTCAGTACAATTCAATTTTATTTATATAGTCAACAACGACAACAGTTGACTCAGGTCACTTTGTATTGTAAGATTCATTATTGTGATGAAAACCAATCGAGGACCGGACCTGTTAAACCATCTGCATCATGAAGGCTTTAAATTAAAATGTCATGACCAACAGTGTCGAAGCAGAACTAGCAGATATTTTGTTTGTTTGATTTTTTTTTTCTAAGCTAGTTTTTAACCAAGACTAAATACTGAGAAAAGTGAGTTGGTCCACAGTTATTTAAAAAACCAAAGCATTTGCTGGGTTATCTGTCATGGTTCCCGTCTTGAAAGTCTGCTCCGGCTCATTAGTCAGCACCACCAACACTCTGTATGTGGACTTGTGAAAGTGTGAGAAAGTGAGCAGTGGCAGTGAGAAAGTGCAGCTCCGTTTGTATAGGGGCTACACCACAAAGTTGGCACAGTCGCTTCTCTTTTGGCAAACGTCTGTTCATTTGTCTGCCTGTTTTAACAGTCGGGCAGCGAGCGCACTCAGTCTGTTTCAGCTCAGTCTGTTTCAGCTCAGTCTTTGTACATGAGAATCATTTGTGTTCCAGTGAGTGAGGTACATTAATGTCCTTGCCAGAGTGTCCACTCTCTTCTATGTGTCCACTAAAATGTTATTTGTCATTTTGTCATCAACACTAAACAAAATTATGTCCCCATTAAATTTTGGTGTAATTTCTTTACCTTATTTTATTGGTTTTATTGGCCCTCATTGAATGGAAATATATCTGCCTCATTGTCTGTTCTTCCTGGTTTGTGAAGAGATTCTCGTGCTGGGCACAGGCACACGACTGGAACGAATCAACCCCTCGGTGCTCGCACTTCTGAAGAGTAAAGGCATCTCTGTGGAGGTGCAGGACACGGTAAAATACAAGTGATCCTGTTCTCTTTCTGACAGCATAGCATGAGCTAACAGACACTGAAATACTTCTTATTGTCTCTTTTTATGTCTTTTTTCATTCATTTATTCTGATTTGCAGCCAAACGCGTGTGCAACCTTCAACTTCCTAATGAGTGAGCGAAGAATTGTAGCTGCAGGCCTGATCCCTCCGTCACCCAGCACAGCACTTGAAGTCCTTGGGAACAACAACAACATGTAGAAGGTGATCACTGCAGGTGGTCAGCAGTTCACTGATGATCTGCCTGTGCACAAAACTCCAGTAGTAACAAGCTCCAACACTTTATTACAACACTTATTTCCTTATAGACAAAGTTAAGTGACTCTTTTACGCCTTTCCTGACATTTATAGTGTCGTACCAGAGGATGTTCATTTAAAACTTCTTTTTAAACTTTGTCTCTGGATGATGTCAGTGGGAGCTGTTACCTTTAATGTGGTCATCTAAGGCGCACACCTCTGGCTGTTCAAACCTGTTTGGAAAGATCAGCCAGTCAGGAGAAGCTAGCTCAAGGGTCAGGAGTTAAAATGCTAAAAGCTTAATTCATACAGCTGAGGGCTGCACAAAGGCCCAGTGTAACAAACTATCTGACAGTCTATAAATACAGAGCTGTAAACGAGCACAGTAGCAGCCACCTTCACCCAGTGGTCTCTGTGAGGTTTGTGTACCAGTGAATGCTGATCTTGGGTTTCCTGTCACACATTTCAGTCAGCATGTGGTTGCACATAAAAGTGTCTCACATCACTGTTGTAATTCTGCTTATAGCTGCTTATAGCTCTGTGTGCATGAGTTTAAAAGAAGACTCAACTCAAGGAAACCAGAATTAGACTGTAATAAAGTGTAAGCATGTTCTTATATATAAACACAGGTTTTGCTTGTATAAAAATATAAATGCTTTACATACTGCAGCATAAGTGTAATGTATTTTTATGTTTTACAATAAATCAGTAGTAAGATCACCTCAGTAGGCAGTGTTTTCATTTTGAATGTGATCTGGGCAGCAGTTAAAGGGGATTGTTTGTTAAAGAAATAGTTTTAATGTGGCTACCAGAGGTGCTGGTGGCCGGTGTCCTTCATTTGGATAAGCCTCTTTACTCCGTGCGTCTGTCCGTCCTATGCATCCAGCACGCTGCCGCTGACAAGCTGTTTGTGCAGCACCTAATTTATTGGCTTTGTCCTTCTCACACATAAGCCCCACAGATAAGAGAGTCCAGTAATCCTTTACACATCAGTGTGATTCATCGCTAATCATCTGTCTCGGTGAAGATGCCCAGCGTCAGGCTGAACACTTTAAACCCTCATCGCTCACAAGCTGCATGTTGCAGCTCATAAACACTCTCACTGATCAGCACTTTAAAAAAAATCTATCTAATTAACTTTAACTTTTGTAGGGGGCGAGGAGTAATCCTCGCCCCCTACCCATTTCACTGCAAGGCAACCTGCATGCGGCGATTAAAGCCTTGATTGATTGATTGACATCCAGTTAGGCGACCTCTTTTCCTTATGCAGAAATTATTCAGCCATACATAAGTGAATTTGAAGAGCAAACAAACATTGAATGTGAAGGTAGACACTACATTCAATACTTTCACAACATTTTATGTTTTTTAGTCAATATAACTTGATAAGTAATATAAAAAAAAAAAAAGTTTCACTCTGGTGTAAACAACCGATGTAAAAACTATCCAGCAGAAAAGTCATAGTGATGTATTACCTTCTCTCATAACAAAGTAGCAACATCATTATTTAGCAGATTTTCACACGAGAGAGAAATTACAGCAAACAAATTAAGAGGCAAAAGAGACGTCAGGCAGTTACGTAGCACACTCTCAGTTCAGTCTACACCCTACATCACACCCTCTGCTTTACAGCTGTGGCATATAATCATCCATGAATGATGATTATACACCACATACATTTACGGCCTCCCAGCTGCTGACATCAAGCTGTCCTCAGTCGTCATCAGAGTTATGAGACTGGTGCCTGGATCCTGCAAAGCTGAGCTCTGTCCCTGTGAGCCGCTGGTACATGTCTTTGATGTCCTCACACTCAGTCTCAAAGTGGTTTGTTGCATCATATGAGCGGGACACAAATATCTAAAAGGACAGAAGAGATTAAAAAAAAAATTAAGGCCACCATCCTATTTACAGTCGTATTATTGTTTTAGTTTTGGGGAAACCCCATCAATACCTGACTCTTTTTTCCATCTTCATTTGGAACTAGCAGATTGCTGACAGACACAAATCTGAATTCAACAAGAAGGAATTGCACTGAATTAAATCACACCACAAAAACACAAACTGTAAGATTTAAGTCTTCAGAGTGTCACTAACTTGTGCACGATGGGTTCGAGGAGCTCGAGTCCTGGCTGCACTTCTTTCTCTGGGTTGGTGGTTTCTGCAGTTGTGCTGACTGTGGCGATGTACATCCCATCTGAGGCCACGTTGTGCGCAAAGGACACTACAGATATATAAATGTCTGCATGGAGGAGGAAGTAGTAGAGGAGCAAATCCAGGAATAGCAGGTCAGAGGGTTCAACTTTGTACATGTTAGATATTGTGGTAGTATAACTTAGTACCTGACTTCCTGTTAAGCTGAGTTTGAGGGATGATGATCTGACAGGAGCTGACATCATGAGTGTGTTTAACTGGATGATTTAGAAAACAGATCGCCCTAACGACACGCCCCACCTTCCTCACTCGATTGGGAACGTAGCTGGGATCACAGATTAACTGTTTGCAGTGGAACAGCTGTTAGAAGGAGAGAAAAAAAGACCACATCAGTGGGAGTACAAATACCTCCTGGACAGTGACTGCAGGGCTTAATTTTGTCTACTCCACCTTCCCCTCAGATTTCACAGCTTTCACTTTGCCACTATCCATCACAATTTCATCCACTGCCCTGTTCAGCAGGAACGTTCCTCCATACTCTGCATTCAGTCTGAAACACAAAGAGGACTGGATCTTATAAGTGCAAGCATGAATGTCTGAACGTTTCCTTTAAACAGCTTTTATTATGCTTTTCTTTATGTGTGCTAGAAAGTGCTATAATGGCACATGCTCACATTAAAAATGAGAGAAGTTTAAAAGAAAGAAATCAGCATCTCTGAACATTTGGTTTTATAAAGTTTTTCCCCACTTGTGGCTCTGAATGTTGTCATTAAGACTGGATTTCCCTAATGTGATCATTTCAGGTACGCAGCTCTAGCTTTGAGAAGATAAGCCCCACCCACCTGCTGCTCAAACCCTTTTGTTTGCAAGGAGCAACCAATCAGAAAAAAGTTTTCTTAAAGGGACGTGGAAGGAAGCATTTGTTAAAGGATGAACTGAGGGGCTTGGTATATGATAAATAAGATTTATTTTGAATTGTGAATCATGCTGACTGACTGACTGACTGATAATATGGAGTTGGAAATTTAAAAAAGGGGCCACTTTTAACTTTCAGTGGAAGAACATCCACTAATGCTTGCTGGGGGCTGATGATGATATACTTGCACTGAATCCTAGAGTGCAAATATCTAGGATTTTTGCACTCGAATTAAAATAGTCAAATTAAACTGTTGATGAACATAAATCAAAGAACTAGTGAGAACCTGACCTGGCAAAACCCTGTGGTATCTCCCCGAGACCATACAGTGGGTAGAGGTACGGACTGGTGTTTCGACAGGACAGCGAATCGGAGTACAGCCTGATCCGACTGATGGTTTCCACACAGGGCCGGTCCAGGTAACTGCGAGGACGGCAGGTGGACAGGTTTAAATCATGCCTACTAATCTGTTTTCAGTGTTGTTTCACTTAAGTTCCTATAACTGACCTCTCACTGTTGTGCAAGGCTATGGCGTGACCTATAAACTCTATGACATCAAGTCCCAGGTCGTAGCGATGGAACAATTCCCTTGTGGTCGTTTTGTGAGGGTCCACATCATGGTGGGTGCGAGGGTTTCTTATGTCAAAGTTCAGAGCAAAGAGCAGCAGCTTCTTGAACCTCCTCTTGTCGAACATGCCCATCAGATCTGAAAATATGTATATTTCAGCGTTATAAAGCTATGGCCGTCTGGAAACTTGTCTTAAAAAGTGGAATGACTTGATCTGGCACCTGAAGCATCTGCGTCTTTTTCACTGGCGGGGACTTTGTGCACTTTTCCTCCTTTGTATACGTAGCTGCCTTCTACGACTTTAAAGTCCAGATACCGAGTAACCTCGGTGTGCAACAAGATTTTTACCATCTGACCTGCACAAACCACAGCACCCAAAAATTAAAGCATGCTCATTTATATCAAAACAATCAGCAAGACATTGCACAAACACCTGCCAATAAACAGTAAACTTTCACCGGTGGAAAGAAAAAATTTGGGGATGAGGTCAACGTTCCACTCTTTCCCTCTGCCCATCGATTTTGGAGGACCAGGAGTATTAAACTTCTTGTACAGCTGCAAATAAAGGAAACACCTTATTATCAGCAGTCTTCAAATGAAGGTACGTGCATGCATGCTCATGAGTTTTGTATTTGTTTACATGCACCTCCTCAAGGAGAGAAATGGATGCACTCTCTCCTCCATAATAAGGATTCTTATCAATGTGGAGAACCTTTTTCCCACTTAAAGTCATTAAACCAGAGAGGATGCATTCCTGAAAGAGATGAGGAAGAAAACAGAGGGGCAAATGTGTCCGAATCAGCAGCTGGTAGTTTAAGGTATACAGATCAGTACTAGACTAATGAGGTAATTGCCATAAATCCCCCTTAGCAGCCAGCAAGAGCTTAACAAGTCTGCACGTGGATCATTAGTAAAAGTGACAAAAACATGGCAGAAAGACCACTCACTTACAGACTTTAATCACTTATTGAATCAAGAGCAAAAAGAGGAAATGAAAGAAGTCATGATTGCAAGTGCTCAGTAAAAGGACTGTGCCTCTGCTTGAGAACTGTTTTGGTAAGGTCGTAGTTATTGTGAGGCATCGTTTTTTTTAGCACTTTGCAGAAAATATATATCTTGCTCACAGCGGGGTTTCTGGTTTTGGTCAGCTCAGAACATTTCCACCTAAGACCACATGACAAAAGATGGCCTGCTCAGTTCACGGGGTTCAAGCTTTGTACTGACAATAAAGTAGGCATAAAATCCTGTTAGCCAACAGAATCATATATATAGAGAGATTCAAGAGAGATTATTTCATTTTAGATTTTACAGCAAATATAAATTTCGTACCTTCAGTCCAGTTCCAAGCACGATAATATCATATTCCTGCTCCATCCTCACTGAGTACCAGTGCTTTGTTTCTGCAGCCTGTCACAGTCTATGAGTGTGGGTCTGTGTGTAGTAAGACAGAAACAGGTGTGATGATGATAGGTGACACCAATTGCTTGGTGTTCCCCTTTGCAATAATCCTCTTAAGACCCATCTATGCGGTGTGTGTGTGTGTGTGTGATAGAGAGAGATTGGCTCTATGAGCTTCTCAGTCACTGCAGATTGAGGTATTATTATACATATAATATATCCCACTGTTGTAATGATACTAAGTCACATTTTCAAATTACTGTGTCTGTTTTTCTGTTTTTTGTTTGTTTATTTTGTTAAAAATTATATTATTGAAGGAAAAAGAGTATGCTGCTTTCTTGTAATATGATTACAATCTGTAAAACAACCAAGCAACAAACAAACAGCTATATTAATGATACGCTGTTGTGGTTATAATTTGAAAAGAAACTAAATGTCAGGTGGTGGAGAAAAAGTACAAATGTGCATATTCTTGAGGTACCTCTGTTTATCACCACTAGGTGTCATAATATGAATAACATCCGTCCATGAAGTTTCATGTTCTGTATAAAACTAAAATATAATAAATATTTTTCAATATTTACCTTTATGATGTATGTGGGTTTCAGTGAGCCTGCTTGTTTTTCTTTCCAGTAACAGTATAGTACATTCTATATATGTTTACAGTATACTATTTCCTCTGAACTGTTAAAACAAATTAAATATCAATAAATATCTAATACATTTCTAGTATTTCTTTTTCTTTCTCACGTCTCTATTGATAACAGTCACCAAAAAAACTTCATTTCCCATGAAGCCTCGAGAAAAAAGATTTCCGGGTTGGTGCCGGAACTGTTTTTTTTTTTTTCCTTAAAGCAATCGCTTAATATCAATTGGGCAACCGGCGAGTTGGGCGGGAGCCACAATTCTCACATAGTCCGCCTCTCTGGGCGAGTTTCGGGATACTCCAGAGTAAAAGTGAAAGCGTACTGGCCGTTGGCGTGTCAGTTTGTGGTTGCTAGCATCTTCGTGTTCCTTGAAAGTTGGCGGTCGAGAAAGTAGAGAAATGTCTACAGCACAAACAGTAGGTGGCTCGAATAATGGTCTTTGGTTCTACTGTATAAATGTAAACTCCTTCCGGATTTATGTGTGCAGTTAACATAACTTTGCTGCAGCGTTAGACCCTCAACTGCCGCCTTTTTTCAGTCAGTTTAATCTGACTAATCATTTCTAATGCTTTAATTTGGTACGTACAATGGCAACAGCGGTGAGTCGCCGTTTAGTCTTAACTTTTTCGCCCAGACATGAAAATTAGATTAGGAAGTGTAAAAGGGGCGTGTCACTTGCACGCCTAAGTCATGATGGGACATGGGACCACAGGCTGCATGTAGGGACACATACAATTACTGCCAGAAGTTTACATCCACTCATCGTGGGCATGAACGTCATAATTTTGGGCTTTTAATGATTTCTTTGAACTGTTCTTTTATTTTTTTTCCCCAGGGTGGAGTGATTGTACAACAATAACCTTTGGTGACTTTAAAAACAAGAACTAGGTGCACAAGCTTGAAAATAATTTAGATTTTCTACAGGCTCAAGTATAAATATACACTCACTGTATTTTAGTAAGTGATGCTGAAGGATCTTCAGTGTCTGTTAAATTGATAAACCAAGGCCTATTAATTTTACACTGGTTATCAAGATCAACTACAAATGCTAGTTTCTCAGCATAAAAAAGGACAGCGATCCAATGATTGACCAGAAGAAAGGGGAGCTCGATAATGATCTAAGAAGAATTGCAGATTTACACAAGTTAAGAAGGCCTCTTGAACTCATTTCTAAACAACAGATTTTGCTGCAAGCAGTACTGGTTCAAAGTAGATGGAATAGTAAAGGAGGAGAGCTACCTTTACCTCAAATCAACAGTTAGATGGTTTAAACTTGGACACAGTTACATGATCTTAAGCAGACACCAAAGACTGTTTGGAATGGATAAAGCAGGCTAACATTAATCTTATCAAATAGCCTCCTCAAAGCCCCAACTTCAACCCTATTGAAAATTTGCGGACTATGCTTAAAACCGTGTCCATGCCAGGAAACTGACTGTTTCAAATGAATTCTACCAATTTTGTCAAAACGCATGGTCAAATACCCAGCCAGAATTATAACACAAACTTATTGAGTAATCAAAAGTGTCTGTTTGAGGTGCAACACACCAAGAGACATTTAACCATTGGTGGGGGTTTATGTATATATTTGACCTCGTGTGGATTAGAGAAAATCCCAAATAAATTCCAGCTTTGTTCACCCAATCCTTGTTTTTTAAAGTCAGTAAAGATGTATGTTGTACAATGATTACATCCTGAAAACAGAACAGTTCAAATACATAGCAAAAAGCTCAAAATTACATTCATGTCCATGATGAGTGGATGTAAACTTCTCACCAGAACTGCAGTTGGCTGGTACCGGATTAGTTGTAATAAATCAGAGGAATGTGTGTCTTCGCTTTCTAAGATTCATGTATTTAAACCATCATTAGTTTTCAGATAAACACCTGGTGTATTATTTTATATATATA